CTTGGGGACTGAGGATTTTAATATGCCCGCCACACAACCCTCTAGTTGTGAAGCGGGCCTGATGCAGGGACCCAGGAACCCAACCAGGGCAGAGAGGAGAGTGTGTTTCGCGCGGTCCCAAACAGCCCCCCACCGGCTCGCTCCGGGCTTGTCCTCAGGGCCGTCTGGGGTCTGAAGGCGTCGGAATGAAGCTGCGGTCTTGGCCGGTGACTTCCCCAGCCCCGGGGAGCTGGGCTTCTCTACTCAGACGAGTGATTCTGGGGTGGGCTGGGGATGCAGGGGCTCCGCCAGCACTCCCCGCAGCTCTGTCTCAGAGGTAAGACGGCCAGAAGAGAATCGGATCTGTTTGTTGGTGGTAGAGAGAGTTATTTTGCCAGATCCCAGTATGGGGTGCAGAAAGTGCAGGAAGGAAGATATGGGTTCAAATCCGGTGTGGTGTGCTGGTTAAGACCATTGACTATGGGATTAGTCTGTCTGCCTTTGTTTTACCACTCTATAATTGTGTGGTTGGCGTTTCTTACTGCCTGTGCCTCAGTTCGCCCAGCTGTAAAATGGGGATAATAGTACCTAGCTTATAGTGTTGAAGTGAAGATCAAGTGGGTTTGTTCGTGTCAAGTGCTTACAGTGGGCACCAATAACCCTCAAACGGTACTATCTGTTGTTACTATTACGAAATTCCAGCAGCCACCACTTACAGACATTTTTTTCCTCAGCCCCTCTGAATCAGTTTTCTTAGCTCTGAAAGAGTATTATGAGGATAGAAAAATAAAAAAAAAATATAACAGGAAGAAAATAAGAAAGGAAGTATATATGGCCAAGACTAATTGAGTCACAACAACTTCTATCCTTTATTTTACATAGTCCAAGAGTGACCTTTATGGATGACAGGGACAAAAATGTAGGTGTTTGGTGCATTTGTATCAGTTCTGAACAAACTCAGACATTGCTTTTCTATAGTTTTTGTTTTGTTTTTTTCCTCGATAGTTTCTAAGTGGTCTGTTCCATTCTGTCTCTCAGGTTGCTAGGGTGATCAGGAACCACAGTGCTGTTGTAGCTTTAGTTCTTGTCTTTTTTTTTTTGGAGAGGTTTTTGCTATAGGGCACGTGCACTCACCAGAAAGACAGAGAGAGACAGAGAGACAGAGAGACAGAAAGCGAGAAATCCCCCCCCTGGGAGATGGCCACGCCACAATCCCTTTACCTCCATTCTCCTCTCGGGATCTTGGGCACACATGCACATGTACCTGGCGTGAGTTTAACCTGCCGGGTCCTGGACTTGGACCACGGTCAACTACATTGGAGTCCAGCGACATAGCCATTATGCCAACTGCTGGTCCTGCTTTAGTTATTTTCTTATTAAGTTGAATCTTTATCTCTTTCTTCCTTTATTTCTGCGATAGCTGTGTTCTTCCAAAGTCATTTAGGGCTTTCTATGATTTTTAAAAAATTGTTTTTATTTAAAAAATTTGTTTTTAGAGTTTTTTTCTTATGGTACATGCATTTGCTGGATAGAGAGAGACAGATAGAGAGAGGGAAAGTGAGAACTCACCCTCCTAGGGGGCATGGCGATGCTGCAATTCCTTCTCCATTCTCCTGCTAGGATCTTGGGCACACCTGCACACACATCTGGCAGGTTTTTCAAGCCACTGGGCCTGGGACTCAAACTGCAGTCGGACATGTGGGAGTCAGTGGTGTAACTGCTATACCATCTGCTGCTCCCTATCTTTAAATTTTTATTTATTATTATTATTTTAAAATTTTCTATAGGGCACATGTCAGAGAGAAAGAGAGAAAGCAAGAAAGCAAACCGCCAGGTCTGGGACTTGAACTGTGGTCAGCCATATGGGAGTCCAGCATCCTAACCACCACACCACCTTCTGGCCCTATGGTCTTTTTTTTTTTTTTTCTTTTTTTAGATTTTTTTGTTATGGGGCACATGCACTTGCCAGAGAAAGACAGAGAGAGAAGGAAAGTGAGAAATCACCCCTCTCCATGGGGGATGGCCATACTGCAATACCTTCTTTTTCATTCTCCTTTTGGGATTTTGGGCATGCATGCACACGTACCTGGTGTGTTTTTCAAGCTGCCAGTCTGGGGCTCAAAACACAGACTTGGCCATGTGGGATCCAGTGCCTTAACCACCACACTATCTGCTGGCCCTCTGATCTTTAATCCAATGGCCATCCCTCCCTTTCCCCAGCTGCTCACTAGGTTTCCCATCATTGTTTAGGAGTGTTGTATATATTGCATTACAGAGTTTGGTCAGCCCTGTCACATGTGCTCTTTGGTAGTGCCAAGAATTTTTCCACACGCCAGCAACCAATCACTCTTCTTGTCAGGAGAAGACTCCTGGGGATATTGCGAAACAAAAGACTTTGGGACTGGATTGTGGGCAATACCGGAGTCTGGCACTGTCCTTGGTTGATGCTCTGGGCCTGGTGTATATCCCTAGCCTACCTGAGCTCTCGACTGTCAGCATCTGACCATGTTAAGCTGCCTCTTCCTTCTGAGGGCGCTTCTTGCTCTTGGGTCCCTGGCGTCCTGGGTAACTGCAGGAGAACACGGTGAGCTATGATTCGGGGCCCCTGGCTAACAGTAGCAGCAAGTGAGTAGAGGAGTCATCTCCTGCCTCCTCTCAGAGTGGGGCTGCTCATTAGTGAAGATGATCAATTCCATAGCACAGGACTAGGTGTAGGATCCTCAGGACAGCCAGCGTAGGTCTTCCTGGCGTGCTTTGCACTCTCTGGACAAGGATTTGGGACTTCCAGTTGGGCTCACGAGAGGTTCTAGCTTTTCCCCAGACCTCTTTTTTTGGGGGGTGGGGGGGAGAGATTTTTGCTATAGGGCGCGGTGTGCTCGCCAGACAGAGAGAGACAGAGAGACAGAAAGCGAGAAATCACCCCCCAGGGGGGATGGCCACGCCGCAATCCCTTCTCCTCCATTCTCCTCTCGGGATCTTGGGCACGCACGCACACAGGCCCGGCGTGAGTTTAAGCCACTGGTCTGGGACTTAAACTGCGGTCGACTATATGGTATTCCAGCGACATAGCCATTACGCTAACTGCTGGTCTCCCCAGAGCTCTTTAAATGAGAAGAGGATTACTCCAACCTTTCTTTTTATTTTATTTTTTTAAGGTCACTGATTTTGTTGATCTAAAAAACTTTATGAGGACAGTGACTGTTTAGAGAGGGGAGGAGAAAAGAGCTCCCAAGAAGGGAGGGGTCCCAGGAAATGGGTTGCCTCCAGCCTTTCTCTGTCTGTCCACAGATGGCTGGTCCAGTAGTAGAGGCAGTAGTTGCGTGGAAGGAGAGGAAGGTGGCTACAGACATTTTTTGGGATGGGATTGTTTGAAGAGGCGGAAGGTCCTTGAAGTGCATTTGGCCTCCATCCCCTGTGTGTTGCGATCTGGCGTCTTACCCCAACTTCACATGACATCTCTTGCAGTGAAAGAGGGAGAGTGCCCTCCTGATACGAGCGCGTGCAGAGAGCTGTGCCAGGGCGACGCATCATGCCCGGCTGGGCAGAAGTGCTGCAGTATAGGCTGTGGGCGGGTCTGCCGAGCCGACGTTCCTGAGGGTATGTGGGCACTAGGGCTGGAGTCGTCATGCTCTCTGACTATCCTTCTGGAACACAGAGAAACTTCCTTCTTCCTGGACTGGCTCTTGAAATCTTAGATTACCTGGGGCATCTCTGCTTTTCCCATTTGAGGTCCCTTCTCTTTTAATCATTCAGCACCCCCAGTTCTTTGCCTTCTGTGATGGAAAAAAAATATACCGCTGATTATCTATGTTTTTCCCTTTGGACTCAGAGTTCCTGTGGAGGCTGTAGGACAGAATTTGAAAGAAGCCTAGATAAGAGTGATTAAGAGTAGAGTCTTGTGCCAGGCGAACCTTATTTATTTTAAAAAATTTGCTCTAGGGTGTGTGCACTTGACAGACAGAAAAAGTGACAAAGCACCCCTCAGGGGGATTGGCACACAGCATTCTCTTCTTCTCTATTCTCCACTTGAGATTTTGGGCATACGTGCACATGTGCCTGGCGAGCTTTTCAAGCCAGTGAGTCTGGGAAACTGCACTGTTGGTCATGTGGGATCTAGCACCTTAACCACCATGCTACTGGCTGGCCCCAAGTAGATCTTTGTAAGCCTTAAATGAGACTTAACCAGCTCTTTTTAATTAATTAGTTAATTAATCATGCTAGAGGTCATGTGTGCTAGCTAGAGAGACAGAGAGGGAGAAAGCACCCGTCTAAGGGAACATGGTCACGCTGCAATCCCTTCTCCATGTTTTAGTCCATGTTTTATCAGGGATTTGGGGCATGCATGCTTAGGCACCTGACATGTTTTTCAAGTCACTGAAGCTGGGCCTTGGACTGAGGTCATCTATGTAGAATCTAGCTCCCTTTAACCATTAGGTCATATCCAAAGAGCTCTTTAAAAAAAAAAAAAAAAGAATTATTTCGGGACCAGCAGTTAGCGTAATGACTATGTCACTGGACTCCCATGTAGTCGAACGCGGTTCGAGTCCCGGACCCAGTGACTCAAACTTACGCTGGGCATGTGTGCGTTCGTGCCCAAGATCCTGAGAGGAGAATGGAGGAGAAGGGATTGCGGCGTGGCCATCCCCCCTGGGGGGTGATTTCTCGCTTTCTGTCTTTCTGTCTCTCTGTCTGTCTGGCGAGTGCATGTGCCCTATAGCAAAAACCTCTCCAAAAAAAAAAAGAATTATTTTATTTAACTTTATTTATTTATTTATATTTTTAATTTGACCAGAGAGGGACAGATTGAGAGAGAGAGAAGAAAAGTGAGAAAGCAAGCCACCAGGTCCTGTACTCAAATTTCCATTGGCCATGTGGGAGCCCAGTGCCTTTAACCACCACGCCACCTGCTGGACCCCGAAGAGCTCTTTTTAAATTTTGAGTTTTTAATCTCAGTTTCTTCATCTGTAAAATAGGGGTGAGTGTGAGGGTCAAATGAGATGTCCCCACGGGAACCAGCAGTTAGCGTAATGGCTATGTCGCTGGACTCCCACGTAGTCGACCGTGGTTCACGTCCCGGACCCGGTGGCTTAAAACTCACGCCGGGCATGTGTGCGTGCGTGCCCAAGATCCCGAGAGGAGAATGGAGGAGAAGGGATTGCGGCATGACCATCCCCCCTGGGGGGTGATTTCTCGCTTTCTGTCTCTATGTCTCTCTCTGTCTGTCTGGCGAGCGCACGCGCCCTATAGTGAAAAATCTCTCAAAAAAAAAAAAAAGAGATGTCCCCGGCACAAGGCCAACATCAGTGAGTATTGTATAAATGTCAGCTATTACTACTGCGGTTGTCATTGTTATTGTCTCTGCCTTGGCACAGGGACGAGAGGCTTGAATGATGCTCAGGGCTTCCTCTAATTTGCCTGTCTGCTCTGCCTGTGGGTGTCACTGGACACCATTGTCTCCTCTCTGTGGCTGTCTCCTTTTTTGCTATAGGGAGAAAAGATTGTCCCAGGGCTGTTCGGAAACAATTCTGTTCGAAAAGCTGTACCACTGACGCCATGTGTCCAGGTGTAAAGAAATGCTGCACGTTCGGCTGCCATAGGAGCTGCGTAATCCCGGTTCCCAGACAGAAGCTGGGTGAGGACCCCCTCCCTCCTACCCCGTGCTCTATCTGGTCTGCTCGTTTCCTTCTCAAATATGAACACGCCGTGATCTTGTTGGCTTTGCTTTACTTTGAAGAAAAATATGAAGTTTATTTATTTCTTCTGTGCACGAAAGAGACAGACACACACACGTGCACACAGAACTGACAGAATTTGGAGGCAGGGGCAACAGTTTTCTGCTGTCCCTTGCCTCCCTCAGCCCCATTCCCTTGAGAAGCTCCTGAAAGGTGTTAAAAATTGATAGTGTGTCTTTGTTATTTTCCTTGTTTCACAATTTTTAAAATAGACTAATAGACTGGTATGTCTTTGTTTTTTAATAAAAATGAATTATTTAATTTTATTATCACTTATTAATTTGATGAGAGAAAGAGAGAGGAGGGAAGTGTAAAAGTAAGCTGCCAGGTCTGGGACTTGAACCACGGTTGGCCATGTGGGAGTCTGGAGCCTTAATCACCATATTACCTGCCAGCCCCTTGTTTCACAATTTTCATGACTACTTTTGTTTGTGCTTCCAAATAAATTCATTTTTCATATGGTCTCTTTCTTCCCTCCTATTCCCAAATACCAATGATATTTTTTTGGAGTGATAGTAGGTACATAAACAGACTTAGGGAGAACTGACATTTTGTTTTTGCCAGAGGGCATGTGTTACCATGACCAGAACTGATACTTTGCTTTAAAAAGGTTATCTGTTTATTTCTTCTAGGAGTAACAGAGACAGAGATTGAGAAAATCTGAGAAAGTCTTTAAAAAAAATAATATATATTTATATATA